AAGAGGGCTGTTCTTAATCAAAGGAAGGGAAAGAAAGGAGGCAGGGGAGGGTGTGGTAGTGATGGGGGGCGGGGGGAGCATCCATAAGTAGTCAGGGGCTCGCAGGCGCCGGCAGCTCCCTGGCTGCCTGCACTCAGAGTCCTGCACCGGGCGACATGCAGAGCAACACTTTTTCTAGGACACAGTGACTGAGGACTCTGTTGGCGGGCGGAGCGTGGGAAGCCTGCACTGTCCATGCTGATATTAGCAGCTCTGCTGTGTCACCGGCCATGCAACTGAAATCTGTTATTGTCTTATGAGCTTGATTAACTGTACATATTGCTAACACCTGCTCAGAAATAGAGCGAGGGACGGGAACAGAGCTCCCAATCAGGGCCTGTGTGGGTGGGGCGCGTGACTCGGGTGCAGATCTGCAGAATGGGGACGCGTGTCCACGCGTGTGTGTGTGTGTGTGTGTGTGTGTGTGTGTGTGTGTTGAGGGCGGGGGGGCACCGGGGCTGTGCAAAGGACCCTGGCCTGCATTTGTACAACCTGGATACCAGCCCAGGCTCTGCCACTGACTTCCACTGTCACACAGGCAATCTCTCCCTCTCTCTGACCTCAGTTTGCTTACCTGTACATGGAAGGTCGAACCCAGGGCTGTACAATAGAAATAGATTCCAGCCACATATATAATTGTAAGTTTTCCAATAGCCACACTGAGAAAAGTAGTAAAAGTGAAATTAATTTTAATGATATATTTATTAAGTTCGATATAGCCCAAATATTATTTCAACAGGTAACCAATATAAAATATTAATAACATACTTAACATTCGTTTTACAATTGTCTTCGAAATCCAGTGTGTATTTTACACTTGCAGCGCGTGTGAACTTGAAAAAGCCACGGTTGAGTGCTCAGTAGTGGCACGGGGTCAATGATCATTGCATTGGACGGGGTGGGCCAGGGCGTCTGCTGGCCCCTCTTTGAGCTGTGAGCGCCCCAAAGGCAGAGACCAGGCTTTATTGTCCCAGCCAGGAGCAAGGGGCCTCCAAGAACGAATGTTAGTAAATAATATTGTTAATAGATGCAGCTGACGTATTGGGTACACTTTTAAAACATTTTCAGGTACTACTTCATTGAATCCTCATAGACACCCTATAATTTCCTTTTGCAGATAAGGAAATTGAGGTTCAGAGAGGTTAAGTAACATGCCCAGGGCCACACAGCCAGGAGGTGGTACAGCTGGTCTTCGAACCCTGGGTAGCTGAGTTTCGAGCCCACAAGTAACCATCATCCTGGACTATCTCCCTGTATTAGTAATACAAATAATATGAGTTAAAATCGCTGAACTGTCTCGCAGGCTGACTACGTGCCAGGCATCTTGTAAACATCATCTCCTCAAGGCAATCCTATAAGGAAGGTTCCAGGTGCCTGCTTCCTGTTTGCTCAGTGAAAGTAAGGAGGAATGAATGAGTGGTTTTGAAGGTGCCCTGCCTGGATGTGAGCCCCTAGGATTCTTAGGGGTGTACTTACACCTGCACATATGCCACCTTGAGCAGTGCCGGGCCTTTACGCCAAACTCTGATTGGCACAATCCCTTAATCTTTGGGGCAAACGAGTTAAACAGAGCCACCCACAGGAGCAGTTCTCAAGGGATCTGGATTGACGTGTGCATTTGGCAGTTGAGATGTGCCAGGTGAATGCATGTTCCTGGCAGCTAAAACGTGTACTTAGGGCTTAGGTACCCATAGGTATGAGCTCCTTCCTTCTTTCCAAAGATCAGCTCCATGTCTGAGTTTAGGCTCTGGAGCTGGGACTCTTGGGTTCGAATTCTGACTCCATGAACCCAGGCAAGTTGCTTCACCTTTAAGTGTTCTCATCTGTAAAATGGGAATACATAAACCCACCTCGTAGACTAACAGTGAGGATTAAATGAATTAGCACAGGTAACGGCTTGGAACGGCTCCTGGCTCATAAGCATGAGCCACTGTTGGCTCCTGCTGTAGGATCCAGGTTTTCAGTCGCGTTCTAGAAACATTAGATTGTAGAATCTGCAGTTTCTGGGTAATTGAAGTGTTCCGATGTATCCTTCCCCCTCGGAGTTCCTACCCCACTTACCATCTGTTTCATCCCATCTTACACTTAATTACAATTCTCCATCTATTTTCTCCCATTGTTTCCTGTTTGTCTGCTTCCCCCGCTGGCAGCACGTGGTGGCTGCCTGAATGAATGAATGGTTCATACCTGGCTTCGTTTCCCTAGACCTTAAAATAGAGTTGCCAGGCGGCTGTCACCCCCGCCAGACACTGAGCTTCTCATCTCCGTGTCTGTTCCATCACCGGACGCCTACTGCGAGCACCTGGCTCCATGCCCCGCACCTAGTAGGTGTCAGGAAATGTTTGTCAAATTTAATTAAACTTAACTGGGGTGAAAACACCCTGCCGGAAGGAAAGGCCCACGTGTCTTTATTTTCTCTGTTCCCCACACCGCTCGGGACCCAGGGCCGAATGAGCCCGGACTGACAGGCTTTCCCAAGTGAAGTTCTAAGGTTGTGGCTTTTGTGCTGCCGATTACAAGGGGGTTGGGGGCGTAATAGGAGGAATCTTACGATAGGGAATTCCTGCCCTGTGCTAAGCCTTTTTATATCGATTAGCTGTTCTTCAAATATGTCTGCCAAGTATGATTCCCATTTCACAAACTGGGGAACTGAGGCTCACGGTGCCGGTAACTCGCCCAGGGACATGGAGGTGGTGGTGAATGCGCTGGGACTTGGACCTAGGACTGACCGATGGCTCCACGTGGGCCCGATCCAGTCCCCACAGTGCCTGGAGCACTGGGTTTGGCAAAGCAGCCAGCAGCAGCTGGTGAGGGGAGCGCAGAGGTGAGCTGGCGGGAGGCAGGACAAACCACAATCATCCAGCTCCCAGAGTGAAAGGAAAGTGGGGGGCCTCCCGGCTCTCAGCTCCTGTCAAAGCTGTCTACTTCTCCCTACTGCCCTCGCCATGGTCTAAGCTATCAGTCTCTCTCGCCTAACTTCTGTTTCCAGTCTCCAAAATGCAACTTGGATCATGCCTCTGCTCTTGTTTAAAACCTTCAATGGCTCCCCACTGCTCTCGGGACAAAGAAGAAAACCTCAGGCCCAGTGGTGTGCTAGTAGACCCACTCACTGGGGGCTGGAGCTGGGGCAGGGAAGGAACAAACAAACAGAAAAGCCCTGGTTTGTAGCTGTTGGTGACTTCCATGGTGTAAAGACACCCACTGCGGCCTGTTTCAAGCTAGCCACAGCTTAACAACTGGTTCACAAAATTCTTAAAAATGTCACAATAGGTTCTCATGAGCCAGGAGGAACCTGAGCCAGGGAGGGTGACCCACCAGCAGCAGCCCTGTTCAGGGCCCTGCACATCTCCCAAGACCCACTGGGCACCACGTTCCCCTGGCTCCCTGAATCGCCACCACTAGGGCCTGCCTCCCACCCCCGGCCCAACCTGCCCCAGTCTTTTGCACATGTGCTCCCACCACCTGTCATGCTTGTCCCACACAGTTGCTTCCTCAGGTTGTGCACAGCTCAGTGTCACTTCCCCAGGCTTGGGCAGGGCCCCTTTACCCTCTGTTACACCTCCCAGCCCGTGGTGCACACTGAGCACATTAACTAATGTGACCTCTTGGCCCAGGCTGTCTCATCCCCCAGGCTGCGAGCCCCTGAGGCAGGGCCCTCTCTGTGTGCCCAGCAGGGACATCACTCCCACTGTGGTTGATGACAGTGGCACCCTCTGGAGTTGGGCAACATTTGCCCCCCTGCCCTGCCCAACACTCAGCATGAGACCAGGCCCATCTTAGGTAAGCAGTGAATTCTTCCCGAATCTTCCAGTTAAGCCTTTCTCTTTCTGTGCTTCCCTTTGGCGCAGCTCCTCCTACCTCCATCGAAGTGGTGGCTGCGGACACGCCGTCCCCCTTCAACCGCTACCAAGCCCAGAACTTCACATTGGTCTGCATCGTGTCCGGAGGGAAACCAGCGCCCATGGTGAGTTCCCCTGGAGTGCCCAGGCCCTCCTCAGTCCCTGCCCGACCTCCTTCCATGTGGCTTGTTCAGCTGCAGGTGTCATCCCCGGTAGCCACTCTGCATAATGAAGGGGAGGGAGTGTGGTCTGTGTAAGTTAACTCGGCCCCATCCACCATGGTCTGTCCCTGTCCACTCAGCTGACCTGCCCAGGCATCCACGTGTCTCTCTTGCTCCCAGTCTCCCAGCACTAGGAGCCCCCATTCGGCTGGACCCTGGGATCCTAGAACTGCTCAGTGGGAGTGGTCTTCAGGGTAGCCCAGGATGGTACTCACCCCACATGAGGCCCAGGGGAGGGACATCTCCAGAGTCACCCACAGCATTCATGATAGAGCTGGGACTCAAGTTCATGTCCTCCAGCTTCAAGGCCAGTGTGCAGGGAGGAAGGAGGGAAGGAAAGGAAGAGGGAAGGTAAGAGAGGGAATCCCTGTTTGGGCCAACTCCTTATAATACCCACTCTAACTGCACTGAGGGCTCTCTGTCCAGCACCTGAGTTATGGTCACGGCCAGTGCAGAAGCAGGGATGGAGGTGAGAGCACCCCGAAAGCTGGGCCCCAGCCCTGCCCTGCCACATGCACTGAGTAACCCTAAGCAGGAAGAACTCCCCTCTGCTTCTCATTTCCGTAAGGAGGTTGAGAGGCTGGAAAATAGTCAAGTTTTTCGGCGTTTTAAATAGCAGCAGGTCTGAATGAAATACGTGGAAGCCCCATATATAAAACACTTAACAGTGAGGGAAGGGCACGTTGCCTGTAACCTTGTAGCGATCCCTGAAGCACCTCTAGCCCTCAGGGTTCCATGGAGCCGTACTGAGAGCCTGCGGGCCGCTGGCTCCCTAGGCCCTTCCGATGGTGACATTGTGAGGTACTTCAGGTCTTGACCCTGAGAGTTTCTTACTTCACTAGGATCGGTGAGGGTGGATAGGTAGGGTTAGAGTTCAAGGTGGGGAGGCATTCCAGACCTTAATCATCTCACAGGCATGGTCCAGTGAGGTGACATGGGAACCCAGGCCAGCTTCACCCAGCTGCCCAGGAAAGAGCAGTAAACAGGCGCAGGAAGACCCAAGACAGGGCAGTGAGCAGGTGCACGCAGGCCAGGTGGGCCGTAGGCAGGTGTGCAGAGGCACAGGTGAGGCAGTAAATAGGTGCTCAGGGAGCGCCTCTGGGAGGCCCATTGCCCTCCACCCACACCTGGATTCCCAAGGAGGCAGCTAAAAAGGCATCTGCAAAGCCAGCCTTGGTGAGAGCAGGACATGGCCCCAAGTTTCCCTCTTTGGAGCCCATAAAGAGGTCTGGCCTCCCTAAAATCAAGCAAGTTGGTCTTTTTTCCCCAAAGAGAAACTTCTTTTCCAAAGGGCCCAAAGAAAGTTTCCTCACAGCCCTGGGGCTGTGGGGGAAACCCCCTCCCCTAGCCTGCCTGCTTCTACCATTTAAGACGTGGCAATAAAACATTCAAATATATATAGTAAAAAACATATCATATATATATATATATATATACACACACATACACACACACATTCCTCATCTCCCCACATTCCAGGCATCTTACGTTTGCCTGGAAGGTGAGAACTTGAAACAATTCTCTGATATAAATTACAAATGTGCTTTTGAAGCACTTCTCAAAAA